GGTTTTTTTTATAAAACCCTTTTTTGTTTTTTGGTTTTTTTTTTTTTTTTTTTTTTTTTTCAAAATAAGAGTGACACCTTGCTAGGACTCCGTTTCACTTCAACTTAAGATGAAAAGAGTTTAGTCTTGCTTCAAAGGCACATGAACAAGAAAATGCCGGTCTGTAGTAGGGCTGTGTATTGGCAAGAATCTGGCAATACAATGCGTATCACGATACAGGGGTTATGATTCATTATATTTGCAATACTGTAAAGAAGGCAATATATTGTGGGGTTTATTTCTATCATGAAATAAGCACTACACCACCATATGTATAAAATCTCCTGTAAAAAAAAAAAAAAGGTTTACTTATTTAGCAGTCAGTACAGGCATGAGCATTTGCATTTATCAGTCCCTGTAGCATCCAACAACATAGCACTTCTTTGCATATGAACTTAATTAAAAATTAATAGTGTTTTGGAGAATCTATACAGTATCGCAAAGCGTAATATTGTGATACTCACACATATTGATATTTTCTTACACCTCTAGTCTGTAGGTGACAACACATTAGCTGTTGGTCAGACTGGATCTGTGACCCTTACTTTGTTATTGTTTTCCAGGTTATACTACCGGTGCATTATAGGTAAAAAAGAAGGCCAGAGATGGTGTGGAAATGTGCCTTGGACTACAGTAAGACACCATACACACCCTTATTTATATACTTTTAAATACCTTTGTCACCAACAGTTTCTGGGGTCTGTTCACTGAAGACAATACTGATATTCTCAACTCTTACATCACCAGATGTTTTATTGTTGCACACTCATGTTGTGGGGAGGGTGTATGCATACAACTTTAAGTCATACACCCACCCAGATCTCAAAGGCAAAATTTTGTGCAGATTCCATTTGGTGTATTGACCATGCAACTGCAATGTTGTCAGTTTGTGAATGTGATGCCTGTCATTGCAGCCAGACAAAGAAAAAAGAAATCCTCTATCTGACAAACAGCTGCAGCCCCCCTCACTGCCATCTATCCGGAACCCATTTAAGGCCCCTGACAAGACGGACAAGAACTCTAAGTTGAGAGACCTGCTGATTTGTGGAGGTGATGAGAAAGACAGCACAGCAAGTCACAAGGCTGACGAAGGAGAACGTTATCAGAAAGCAAATGGAGAGACCGTAGATGCAGGAGTGAAGGAAGAAGAGGAAGAGAACCTGAATTCACTGGGTACTTACCAAGGGAAACTACTTCCTGTGGGGATGAAGTTAAAGAAGAGAGTTACAGATGAGGAGAGGAATGGCCGCCAAGCTAACGATGCAGAAAGAATGACAAGTGAGACTAAAAACAAACACACAGAGCAGGGAGAAGAAGGAAAAACGGCAGTGAAACAAACTGACCCTACTATAAAGGAGAGTGCCTCTAAATTTGCACCCAGCAGCTGCGCTGATGCTTCCATAGTCTCTGATAACACAAGAGACCCCACAGCTAACAAACCAGCACAATCAGAGAGCGGTCACACCAAAACTCCCCATGACAATGATGATGTCATGATAGTGTCAGTGAAACTTGCTACTCAGAAAACTCCTCCTGTTTCTGCTGTTCAAAAGACCCTGACCACCTTCCCAGGATTTC